CGCTCGGATTGGTAACATGATCGGCGGGCCCCATAAGGAGGGGGCTCCAGACTGAGACTTCCTCGCAATTCACTCAGAGACGAGGCTCCTGCCTGATACTTCCTCCATATTCAAGCCTCAAGAGCTCAAAAGTGACGACAGTTACAAGGTTCCGATGACCCGCTCGGATTAATAACATGATCTGCGGGCCCCATAGGGAGGGGGCTCCCGTCTGAGACTTCCTCGCAATTCACTCACAGACGAGGCTCCCGCCTGATACTTCCTGCATATTCAAGCCTCAGAGGCCCAAAAGTGACGACAGTTACAGGGTTCCGATGACCCGCTCGGATTAGTAACATGATCGGCGGGCCCCATAAGGAGGGAGCTCCCGCCTGAGACTTCCTCGCAATTCACTCAGAGGCTCCCGCCTGATGACGAAATGATGAGTGAGCGAATGATGATGATGATGATGATGATGATGATGATGATGATGATGATGATGATGATGATGATGATGATGATGATGATGAGGATGAGGATGAGGATGAGGATGAGGATGAGGATGAGGATAATGATGATGAGGATGATGATGATGGCCAATCGAGAGATTATGATGGAGATGGTGGCGATGATGTGAGAGTGGCGGCGGTCCTACCGTCGGAGGACCACTGCCTCCGAAGCCTACTGAGGATGAGTGAGTAATTGAGAGAGTGAGTGGGTGATCGAGTGGTGATGGTGACGATGATGATGAGGATGATGATGATGACTAGTGATGATGGTGATGGTGGTTGATGGTGATGATGATGGTAATGATGATGAGTGTGTGCGTGTGATGACGATGATGGTGGTTGATGGTAATGATGATGGCGATGATGGTGAGTGAGAGAGAGAGAGGAAAGGGGGTGTGTGAGATCCTGCGCGGCGTGTGCAGAGAAAACAAGAACCCCACTTTGGATGTGGGGAAAAACCTCGGGAAAATCAATGATGTGGGCCTCTTCGAGCCTTCCTGGAAGCCCTCTTGCGGGCGTCTCGGGCCGTCTTGGAAACCTCGTGGGGGCCTCTTGGGCTGGGCCGTCTTGATGGCCTCATGGCCCGTCTGACGCTGTCGGAAGCCGTCTTAGGGGGCCTCTCTGGGCCATCTTGGAGGCCATCTTGGGCGTCTTGGAGGCCTCTTGGACTGTCTTAGGGCCCTCTTGGGGCCGTCTTGGGATCCTCTGGGGCCGTCATGGGGCCATCTTGGAGGCCTCCTGGGCGATCTTGGGGCGACCTTGGGGGCCTCTTGGGCCGTCTTAGGCTGTCTGAAAGCCGAAAAGGCGCAAATGATAAAATCCGTCAAAAACTTAAAGAAAATTTTGCGATGTTGGCCTGCATCTTGGGCCGTCTTGGGGGCATCTTGGGGCCATCTTAGCCGTCTTGGAGGCCATCTTGGCCGTCTTGGAAACATCTTGGAGGCCATCTTGACCGTCTTGGAGGCCATCTTGGGCCGTCTTGTACAATTTTAGTGGGGGGGACGTTGTGCGCGATTGCGCGCCTTTCCAGGTGGCCGGCGGGACGGGCCGGAGCCCCATGGGGAGCGTTCTTTTGTTGGGGGTTAACAAGGAGAGAAACAAAAACAAAAACAAAAAAAACGGTTCGATCCAGCACGCCGGGCACCCCTGTGGCAAGACCACAGGGGGCGGCGGATCTGGTGGCCTTCGGCCCATCCCGCCACCGCGCCCAGGTTGTAGGCCAGAGATCCCTTGGATGCCCGCGGGGATGTATCGGAAAGCCCTTGGGAAGCCTCGTGGGACGGCTTCAGGGGCGTCCTGGGCCCTCTTGAGGCCTGATTTTGGCATCTTGAGGGCCTCTTGGGGGCCCTTTTGGGGCCCTCTTGGGGCCCTCTTGGGGCCGTCCTGGGCCGTCCTGGGGGCCGCTTGAGCTGGCTTCGGGCTTCCTGGGCCATCTGGAGGACTTCTTGGGGGCCACCTTTGGGCGTCTTGGGGCGATCTCGGGGCCTTCTTGGGCCATCTCGGGGCGTCGGAAGCCCAAAAGGGCGAGAACGCTTCAGCTATAGAAATCACTTGTGTGAGCCGCTGGGGGCCCTCTTGGGTGGCCTGTTGGGGCCTCTTGAGCGTCCTGGGGGCCTCTTGGGCCGTCTGGAGGCCATGTCGGGCCCATTGGAACGATCTTCGGGCGACTCGGGACGCTCTTGTGCCGTTTTGGGGGTCTGTTGGGGCTCTCTTGGCCCGTCTTGGGGCACTCTTGGAATCGTTCTGGCTTCCCCAGAGCTCGCCCAGACTCCAAGAGCGCCTGGGCATGTGTTCTGCACACGGGGCAAAACGACAGCCCTTTATCCGCCGACCGGTCCACTCGGTTTGGAGGGGGGGGGGGGAGGAGGAGAAGGAGGAGGAGTCGGAGGAGGAGCAGGGGGGGGAGGAGGAGGAGCAGGAGGGCGAGGAGGGGGGGGGGGCGACAACGATGGCAACGACGACGGAGGATGGGGGGGGGGGGGGGGGGGGGCAAATCCATCGTCCGCACACTTGGAGCCTCAGGGGGCCCAAAACGGGCCAAAAAGGTTCCGAAGGTTCCCGGGACGGTCCAAGAGAGCTACGAATCGACGAAAGATCGCCCCAAAACGCCGAAGATTGCCTCCGCACGGCTCCATACGTGCCCAAGACGTTTGAAACAATACTACGAGGCGCCCCAGAGAGGCCCTTCAGAAGCAAAAATCGCCCCATTCCCTAGAGAAAACTTTCATTTTCACCATATTCGCCCATTCGGCTTCCACGCGGCGCAAAACGGCCCAAGAAGCCTCCAAGGTCGACCCTCGCCAGCCCAAGAGGCTCCCAAAAAGGCTCCAAGACGGCGTCCGGGCGATCCACGAAGGCCCCAGAAACCATAGCAACGGCTTAGGAAAGCCGCAGGACGGTCCCAAGAGGGCTCCAAAACGAGGCAAGAGGGCCCCCAAAGGCTGTCCGGACGGCCCACGCGGGAGACGATTCGGTCCAAACCGCCTAAGATCGCCGCCAGACGGCCCCATGGGTGTCCAAGGCGCTTGAAAACGCGACCACGAGGCGCTCCAAGAAGGCCTCCACAAGCAAAAACCGTCCCATTCCCTAGGTGAAACGTAAATGTTCAGCACATTCGCTTCTTGGGCTTTCACGAGGCCCACAACGGCCAGATAAACCTCCACGATCGACCCCTGTCTCCCGAAGAGGCTCCCAAGAAGGCTCCAAGACGGCTTCCTGGCGATCCACGAAGGCTCCAGAAACCATAGCAACAGCTTAGGAAGGACGGTCCAAGAGGGCTCCAAAACGGGTCAAGAGGGCTCCCAAAGGCCCACGCAGGGGACGCTCCGGTCCAAACCGCCCAAGATTGCCTCCAGACAGCCCCATGGGCGTCTAACACGTTTGCATACGCGACCACGAGGCGCTCCAAGCAGGCCTCCAGAAGCAAAAACCAACCCATTCCCTCGGGAAAACGTACATTTTCAGCATATTCGCTTCTTGGGCTTCCACGAGGTCCACAACGGCCCAGTAAACCTCCAAGATCGACCTCTGGCACCCCAAGAGACTCTCCAAAAAGGCTCCACGACGGCCTCTGGGCGCCCCAAGAAGGCCCCAGAAACCATAGCAACGGCCCCGGGGGAACGGCAGGACGGTCCCAAGAGGGCTCCAAAACTTGTCTAGAGTTTGGACACCCGAAATGGGTACCGAAAGAATGGGTACAATGCCCAACAACAAATGTTGTCCCAAACCAACAGCGGCCGCTGTTGGGCAGGCGGCCTTCTGTCTCGAATGGACACAGGCCGCGGCGGCATGGACAGCGAGGCCTGTTCAAAATGAACAGGAATTGCTGTTGGGCATTGTACCCATTCTTTCAGTGCCCATGTCGGGCGTCTAGATAGAGGGGCCTCGCAGGCTGTCCAGACAGGCCACGCGGGGGACGATTGCTGCCAGTGTGACGTAAGCCCATGAACCACGGAAAACTGCACGAGCCTCGGGGCGCTCCACTATGTGCGGAAGGCACGGTGGTGGATCCTCTTGTCCTCGCCGATCTCCAGCCGGTATTCCTCTTCTCTCCCCTCTCCTCCACTCTCCCCTGCCGTCTGCTCCCCTACCCTGCCCTCCCCTCTTCTCTCCTTCCCTTGCTCCCGTCTCTGTCGTGCTGCTGCTGCGGTCAGCTGGTGATCCGCCTCTTCCTCCTTATTCCCTTCCTCCTTCTCCTCCTCCACCTCCTCCCCCTCGATGCTCTCCTCTTCCTATCATTTCTCATGTTACCCTCATCCCCCTGGTCCTCCTCCTCCTCCTCCTCCTCCTCCTCCTCCTCCTCCTCCTCCTCCTCCTCCTCCTCCTCCTCCTCCTCCTCCTCCTCCTCCTCCTCCTCCTCCTCCTCCTCCTCCTCCTCCTCTCATGGCCTGCATGAACAGCAGCGCTTACGAAAGCCACGCCGGAGCGGCAGAGGCAGGAAGCGGAGCGAACGCCGCGGCAGCAGCGCAAAGGAGACGGCACCTGGCCACGGCGGCGACCGCACGGCGTTGGACGCAGGAACCGGAACTCCGTGGCAGGCCCAGCCCCTGCAGCGAGAGCCCTTCGAGTGCCGCTGGACGCCTCGCCTTAGTCCTCCGCTCGTAGACGTTCCTGGCCAGCCCCCCAAGAGCAGAAAGAACGGGATGCCGGGTTGGCACTGCTGAGCAGAAGCGGTGTTGGAAGAAGCCCCACCAATCATTGCTGTCGTGGGCTGCCCCCACAGGGGGGGCACATCGCCTGCCGTGTCGTCGAGATGCCGACTAGCGGTCTGCTGCAGCCGCCTTGTTATCGCCTGCTCCCCCTACCGAACCGAACGGCAAGGTGAAGCTGACTACCCACCAGACCACCCCAAGCCTACGCGAAGACCCGAATTTCGGGTTGGGGCTGCTAACGGGTTCCATATGTGTGTGTTTGTCGATGTTCCCCGACGCCCCCCCCCCACCAGGAATAGAGGGCAAATTAGGGCCTTCGGGTTGGGTTGGGGTGGTTCGGTGGGTGGTGAGAAGCAGGCGCCTGAGGCATCGCGTAACCGCACATGTCTCCGAACATGCCGATGCTCATGGGCTCCTGCCGCACTGCTTGCTGGCCGCAAGTGCCAGGAACAAAAGCGAGGACCCGTATTATATCAGCGCACATACCTGCGGCCAAATCATGATTACAGTGCCCGCAGGTGGGTGCGTGCGTGCGTGCGTAGTTCACTTGTTTTCCACGGACCGTGGGCCAACATAGCATTCGAGGGGCTTCCATGCAAGGTGTGGGGTACAGGTGTGCGAAACAAGCTGCGGCTCGGCGATCGTCGAACGTGCAGTGGCAGCTGCTCCGTCCACATGGTGCTCGACATGGGCAGCCACGATAGCGATCTGTATTGAGCCTCGCGACACAATTGCCGTTCGTCGGCATCCCCGCTCTCCCACGCTCAACGCATGCTGGGCATAGGTACTAAACATTGGGGTAACAACATTGGAGAAAATAGAAGGTAGGCCAATTGGAATATCAGAGTGCGCATTGCCGTTGTTCATGTCGTCGCTTGCCGTCGTCGTCGCCCACCCTGCGACCAATATGCGACCCGCCCGCGACCCACCCCGCGAGCCACCCCGCCAACCCACCCGCAGCCCACTTGCGATCCACACGCGACCCACCCATGACCCACCCACGAACCACCCGCGACCCACCTGCATCCCGCACACGCGACCCACACCCGCGACCCACCCGCGACCCGCTCACTTTGGTCTGCAACAAGAACAAGCCTGGCGAAGGGCCCGTGAGAGCCCCGAACGGCTTCGGACACCCGTAAGACCCCCGAAGACGACCCAAAGACCCCCAAGAGAAAACACAAACGCAACAATACAACTGTTATAGTTGTTTGGACGATTTGGGAGTGCTCAATTCTTCGGTCTTCCTGTGGAGACGATTCGTGCGAGGAATGTGCCGCAGTGGGCGCGCGGCGCTATGCGAACTGGCCCAGTGGGGCCGAAAATGGAGCTCCCTGTGGGGCACGATCCGCATGCGAGGGTTGTGCCAACATGGGCGCGGCGCTGCCGTGCGAAATAGCCGACTGAGAACGTAGGTTATGCTTCCCATGGGGACACGATCTGCATGTGTGCCGGAATGGGGTAGAATGGACATGCGTCTGCGCCTGCTGGGGTCGTAGGTGGAGCTCCCTCTGAGGGGAACGAAACGTGTAAGGGATATGCCGACCTCGGCGGCTTGCAGCCCATCCCCCACTGGGGCCGTCGGTGGAGCCCTCTACATCGGCAGGAAGCGTGTGAGGAGTGTACCGACCTGGGCGAGGGGCGGCACGAGTTCGCACCTACCGGGGACACAGGTGGAGCTCTGCATGGGTGCACAAAACGCGTGAGCGATGTGCCGAGCTGGGCGTGGGGCGGAAAGCATACGTCCGAGCCCCATGGGGCCGTAGGTGGAGCTTCCCATGGGGGTGCGAAACGAGTGTGTACCTGTCCACTGCCCGTTCCAAACTGAACTGGTGTACTGCTGGCTCGTAAGACCTGCCCAGCGTCAGTTGAAAACCCGCCTGCCACGGCAGGCTGCGTGTGCAAAGCAAGTGCATACCGCGGGTTTCTTTCCATTGGCTTTCGAACCTCGCGACCCACCGACGACACGCCACACGACCCGCTCACACTGTCTTGTAGAAAATCAGCGACTGCGGCGGGCTGATTTATCTCGAACGAAAAAAAGCTCGAGCCCCGCAGCATCGGCAAGGCACCCTGCGCACATCCTCTTCCTCCTCCTCCTCCTCCTCCTCCTCCTCCTCCTCCTCCTCCTCCTCATCATCATCATCATCATCATCATCATCATCATCATCATCATCATCATCATCATCATCATCATCATCATCATCATCATCATCATCATCTCCTCTCCTCCTCATCCTCCTCCTCCCTCTCCCCCTCCCCCTCCTCCTCCTCCTCCTCCTCATCATCATCATCATACTCCTCCTCCTCCTCCTCTCCTCCTCGTCCTCCTCCTCCTCCTCCGCCTCCCTCCTCCACCTCCTCGTCCTCCTCCTCCTCCCTCCTCCTCCACCTCCTCGTCCTCCTCCTCCTCCTCCTCCTCCTCCTCCTCCCTCCTCCTCCTCCTCCTCCTCCTCCTCCTCCTCCTCCTCCTCCTCCTCCTCCTCTCCTCCTCCTCCTCCTCCTCCTCCTCCTCCTCCTCTCCTCCTCCTCCTCCTCCTCCTCCTCCTCCTCCTCCTCCTCCTCCTCCTCCTCCTCCTCCTCCTCCTCCTCCTCCTCCTCCTCCTCCTCCTCCTCCCCTGGGCAATGCAGCCCCGGCAAGACAGCAATTGCGGGGCTTAGGTATTGCGTACGTTGCGTACGTCGACTCTCGTAGGACCTGCCCACTGCCCGCTCCAAATTGCTCCCTATGTGGCTCATCACTTCGTTTCGGACATCGTGCAAGCACGAGTTACACAAAAAAGAAGCCTCGAAAATACCCCTTCCACTGGGAGGGGCAAATACGCTTTGATCAGTCACCGTACGTACAACGCGAAATGAAAGGCATTGTCTGTTGGAGGGGGCCGGGGGGTCTGAACTGGATGGACCTCGAGAAAATCGATCAGGGAGGGAAAATTCGCCGGCCCAACGGGCCAGAGGCGTGCTAAGATCTCCGGTAACTGCTCAACAATATTTCTAGTTCGCGCGCGCGGGGCGGGCCCTGGGGTCCCCGGACGAAAAGTACCCCGGCAAGGTCCCGGCAAGGTCCCGGCAAGGTCCTGGCAAGGTCCCGGCAAGGTCCCGGCAAGGTCCCGGCAAGGTCCTGGCAAGGTCCCGGCAAGGTCCCGGCAAGGTCCCGGCAAGGTCCCGGCAAGGTCCCGGCAAGGTCCCGGCAAGCCCTCCAGACGGTCCAAGAGTGCCGGGAGACGCCGAAATATCACTCCCAAACGCCTGCGATGGCCTCAAGACGGCCCAACAGGCCTTCAAGACGCCCCAAGAGGTCCCTAAGCGGCGCCCCAAGAGGGCTCCCACTAGCAAAAATCGTCCCATTCCCTTAGGAAAACGTGCATTTTTAACATATCCGCCTCTTCGTCTTTCACACCTTTCAAGGCGGTCCAAGAGGCCCCCAAGATCACCCCAAGACGGCCCGAGAGACCCTCTAGACCGCTCAAAGACGGCCCAAGAGCGCTCCAAGAAGGCCCAAGAAACCCTCAAGAACTCTTTTTCGGAGCCCAGGAGGGCTCCAAATCGGTCCAAGAGGGGCCCGAGAAGCCCTCCAGACGGTCCAAGAGGCCGGGAGACGCCGAAATATCGCCTACGATGGCCTCAAGACGGCCCAACAGGCCTTCAAGACGCCCCAAGAGGTCCCTAAGAGGTCCCTAAGCGGCGTCCCAAGAGGGCTCCCACTAGCAAAAATCGTCCCATTCCCTTAGGAAAACGTGCATTTTTAACATATCCGCCTCTTCGTCTTTCACACCTTTCAAGGCGGTCCAAGAGGCCCCCAAGATCACCCCAAGACGGCCCGAGAGACCCTCTAGACCGCTCAAAGACGGCCCACGAGCGCTCCAAGAAGGCCCAAGAAACCCTCAAGAACTCTTTTTCGGAGCCCAGGAGGGCTCCAAATCGGTCCAAGAGGGGCCCGAGAAGCCCTCCAGACGGTCCAAGAGAGCCGGGAGACGCCGAAATATCACTCCCAAACGCCTACGATGGCCTCAAGACGGCCCAACAGGCCTTCAAGACGCCCCAAGAGGTCCCTAAGCGGCGTCCCAAGAGGGCTCCCACAAGCAAAAATCGTCCCATTCCCTTAGGAAAACGTGCATTTTTAACATATCCGCCTCTTCGTCTTTCACACCTTTCAAGGCGGTCCAAGAGGCCCCCAAGATCACCCCAAGACGGCCCGAGAGACCCTCTAGACCGCTCAAAGACGGCCCAAGAGCGCTCCAAGAAGGCCCAAGAAACCCTCAAGACGGTCCAAGAGGCCCCAAGACGGCCCCATGATTGAGGTCCACAGGGGCAACCTGAACGGAAATTTTGAGCCTCCCGCCCAAACACGCCCCCGAAATGCCCCTACAAGCCCCCAAGTAGCCCCACGAAGCCCCCAAGAGAGCCCCAAGAGGCCCCCAACAGGCCGCAAGAAAGCCCCAAGAGGCCCCCAAGAGACCCCCAGGAAGCTCCCAGGAGGCCCCCAAGAGGCCAGGCAGACCCCCCCAAGAGACCACCAAGAGGGCCCACCCAGAGCCATCCACGAGGCCTCCTAAAGTTCCCAAGAAGCTCCCACGAAGCTTCCAAAGGCCCCCAAGACCCCCCAAGACCCGCGATGGCACAATACGGGCCGGCGGAATGAGCGAAGCGATTCAATAAGGGCAAGTCCACGAAAAAAAAACTGTTCCCGGACCCCTCCTGGGGTCCGTCTGGTGCTCCGTTCTTGACAGCCCCTGGGCCCGAAAACAGCCCTCGGAGACAGAACAGAAAAAACAAAAAAAAAAAAAAACGAACCCAGAACCCTCGAACCTCGCCCCTCCTTCCAGCTCGCCGGAACCAGTGCTGGGCCACCTCGGACCCCCAGCCGACTCCAAACTGCCTGTGCTGCGGGCACCGGCAACGTGCACGCAGTCCCCGCAGGACGCCGCGCGCCGCACGCAGGACTGCCGCGTGGACAGGGGGGCCCCGCCCTGAACCACAGGGCGCGGCTTCGGCGGCGCGCCCTGGGGGGGAGTGAGGAGAGGGCATACCTCCTCAGAAGGCGGCGGGGCTTCTCAGAAGCCCCCGCGGCCTTCGGAGAAGGCTGGGTATTTTTTTTGTTCGGAAGGCTGGAGGCCCTCGGAGCCCTCTGAGCAGGCCCGCCCCCTCTCACTCCCATCCCCTGGGCTCGCCGCCGACGGCTCCGGGCACATCAGCACGTGCGGTCTCAGCGGAGGTGTTCGTCCACAGACGGGCGCACCCGAAATCAACCCAGGGCCGAGTCCGTGATGATGTGGAGGAGGAGGAGGAGGAGGAGGAGGAGGAGGAGGAGGAGGAGGAGGAGGAGAAGGAGGAGGAGGAGGAGGCGTCGCAATCTTCTGACGCAGCCGCTGCACGGCGCCAAGGTCTGGCGGTCCGTCCCTGCCTCTGCATTCTGCTGGTGCCGCGCCAGCTGGGCGGACGCCAGGCCAACATCGTGGCGCGATCCGCAAAACCTGCAGCCGCTTACGCTTTAAAAATGGCCCCTCAAGCGTGGGCACACCAGAGGTCCGAGTTCGCGTCCTCCGACACCCAGAGGGAACAGTCGACGACACTGGCAAGCAACGAACATTACCGCTCAAGGCGTACTGCATTCGCTCTGTAACGTTACTCCACGCGAGCTAGCGCTTGAGGAGGAAGAGCCAAGCTCGAGCGACGTTGTTTGCCATTCGTGATGTTGCCCCCTTTGTGGCACATTCGGCGTGGGCAGGGCCGGCTTGAGCGCGATGTAAAGTAAAGAGCTCTGGTTGCTGTCCAGTAGAGACGGTTCGACCACGTACCAAATTAGGCTCCACGATGTCACGGCCACCCCAAACTTCGGCACATCGCGTATTACAAGAATCCAGATCTACTTGGCAACAGGGGTCTCATGAGGTAGGTGGTCACGCACGGCACACCCACTTGTCAATGATGACGGTAGCTGTGGCGGTTCCTGGCTGTTGGGCTCCCATGACCGCCCAAAAGGCCAACGTGCAGCTCACTGGAAAATGGTCTTGATTCGAACGCGTCAACTCGGCCGATGTTGGCCTGGATCTCGGTAGCTGAGGTACCGCACATCGGGTCCTTGGAGAGGACTTGGGAGGGCCCACGAAACTAGACGTTGGGCAATTGGCGGTATCACTCTTACGGCGCGAAGATCTTCATACTCGGACATTGAGGATACAGCATGCTTCAAATACAACTGTTTTCGCAAACGGTGGTGATGCACCCGTTCCACAGTGTCGCAGAGGGCGCCATAAACAAAAAAAAAATGATCTACTAGCCAGACTGAACAGTACAGTGAGAGGTAGGAGGAAGAGGAGGAGCAGCAGGAAGAGGAAAGGGAGGAGGAGGAGAATGGAAGAAGGGAGAAAGGAGGTGGAGGACCGAAAAGAACCGCCTATGCTGCTCGTTCGAACAACTTGTCCACGCTGCTTGACAGCGTGCCAGAAGCAAACAGAGTGAGACAAGGAACAGTGTCCCTTAAATACCAGCCCGAGCTGACGAGAATATAACCAGTACGCTTGCAGAGGTTGTTGATAAGGATAGCTCCCGAGACCTTGCCTTGGACAGCATCATGTGTTGTTCATGGTTGGAGGAAGAGAGCGAGAGAGCGCATCCATCATATCTCATCAGAGTGCGACTGGCACGTCCTTGCGAGTCTCTCAGGCCACACTTCATTGCATGGACTCGCCCATGCAGGTTGCCTCGTGCGGTGACCCTGCTTGTCCTGGTGTTTTCTATGCGGCGTTGTTGTCCAAACGTCTGACTGGTACGATGGCATGCGGACATGAGGGTGCGCGCACAACTCGAGACTTCAACCTTTCTCGACAGGTTACTTCGGCCAACCTGTGCCAATGTCGCCTGTTGGCTGCAGAATTGGCCATGGCAGTTGAATGTGACGGTAGTGGCATCATCCACCAAATGAACATCACTCGTCCATCAAAAAATGCCTGCCCAGCACAAGGTCGGCTGAACGTGTGCCGAGGTTGACGACTATCTGAGGATTGCTTCAGCAGGAGGTTGGGGAAGGGGAAGGGAAGGAGGGGGAGGTTGAGAGGGAGAGGGAGGATGGCGTCGAAAAGAGAGGGGGGGTGGTCCCGACTCCCCTCCCTCCCTCCCCCCTCCGTCGCTCCCCCCGTCCCCTCTCGTCTCTCGTCTCCTCCCTAGGCCTCCCCCGGTCTTCTCTTAGATCCCCCCCTTCTTCCCCCCACCTTGAGCGAGAAGGATCATAACGGGGGGGGGTCTCCACAGCGCTGCACTGCATGTAGTTGCACTCCACATACGTCTGGGGCGCGAAGAAGCCGAGACCGCAGTTGTCGGCCCCATCCTGGACCTTCTCGAAGGACCTCTGAGGGAGCGGAGGAGATGGGGAGGAGAAAGAGGAGGAGGAGGAGGAGGAGAAGGAAGAGGGGGAGGAAGAGGAGGAGGAGGGAGAGGAAGAGGAGGAGGATGCCTCCCGCCGCCGCTGCCGAGGCCAGAGGACGCCATTTATCGGGGCGCTGAGCGCCCGAGCAAGCTTCAGTGAAGGTGCACCGGCACAGATGATTGGGCAGCGGGCGGAGGCGAGCCAGACGGCCAGCTGCACGACACTGAGACGAGGGTACAAATTGACGCGCGAGGGAGGGAGGGCTGGGAGCGCAAACAAAGAGACCTCAAATGGCCATGGAATGGCAAAGGAATGGTGCACTGATCCATGGCCCTGAAATGCGGCCTCTCTTGCTGTGGCGTCTGGCAATCATCAACGAAGTAGTGGGCATGCCTCCCGCCGCCGCTGCCGAGGCCAGAGGACGCCTTTTATCGGGGCGCTGAGCGCCCGAGCAAGCTTCAGTGAAGGTGCACCGGCACAGATGATTGGGCAGCGGGCGGAGGCGAGCCAGACGGCCAGCTGCACGACACTGAGACGAGGGTACAAATTGACGCAAACCTGCCAAACAATCCTTGGTCATCTCGATAAACTACTGAACCATTCACCGTTAAACAAAAAGACTGGACAATGCAATCGTCTTAGAACTGCCATGAGCGTGATCGAAGCATCGAGCGAGGGCCTTGCACAAGGCAGGAGGATACTGCTGCGCGGCTTTCGTTTTAAAGCCGCCTCCTTGGGCGAGGCCATGAATAGATGTGTGCTTTTTGTCTGTGCGAGAGCAAAGCTTGCCGTGGCACTCACGAGCAACGGACTGCAGAGAGACGCGATCCCCTAAAATTCGGGTCGGCTTCTTCCATGGCGTCCCCCATTGGCACATGTCCGTATATACGAGCTGGCTAGTACTCCATGCGGCAGCTTTTTTGAGACGAGGCAACAGCCATAGACGTGAACGCGCAGGATTCTCCAGCGCCACTGGGCGCTGGAGCCAGTGCATTAACTCAAAAATGCTGCAACAGAAACCGGCAAGATTATTACCAATTCGAATGGCTTGCACATCGACAGGATGGGTGACCTCAGGAAGCCCCATCAGATGCTGGTCGGATCGGAGCCGCGACGGGAGCGTTGGTCCAGCCTGACCCAGCTCCCGCAGCGGCCCTGTGTCTCTGGCCCTCGTCCACGTCTGGCAAGGCGTACCCATGAAGACTCCCCAGACCTGTCCGGCCAGGATCCAGCCTCTCACGAGCTTCTGGGCCTTCCGCGCCGAAAGGTCCCAGGCAGGCCCACGGCAGATGTCCCACTCGAGCACGACGAAGCCCTTCTCGCGAAGCGACCGCGAGAGCCCGCCATGCCCGCTGAACAGTTCTAGAAAGACCTGCGGCTGGACCAGGCGGGCACCCCGGCTGGCCAAGGCGCGAGCGAAGGCCTCGCGAGGCAGATCGGCAGCTGCGCCGCCGCCTCGACTGCCCTCGCGCGGACGCCTGGGGGCAGCCGCTGCAGCTGCTCGCCCACGCGCCCCTCCTTCTGGTAGCGCCTCACACTGGAGTCGCAGTGCCAGCGACCTCTCAGCTTGATCTCCTGCAGCGTCCGCAGCTGGCGCGCTCGATCGTGGCTGGGCCCGCTGTGTCTCAGCATGTACAGCTCTGGGCCCAGAGCCTGGACCCCAGCGCGCCCGGCCGCCTCTCGAAACTGGACCACCAGGTCGGCGTGCCTGAATGTGAACAGCGGCTGCCTGGCTGGCGTCACCCTCTTGAGGTAGGCGAGCACGGGCACGAGGAAGTGGAACAGCGGCAGATCGAACACCACGGTCTCGTCGAACTCCCTTGTCTTGCTGCTGATCTCCTCCTCGCTCGGGTGCAGCACGATCGCCCAGTTTGCCACGTGGGTCCCTGGCACAGGCGGCACGAGCATCTCGGCGGTAACCCGCTGCAGCTCGCTGGGGCGCAGGTAGCAGTGGAAGGTGATGATCGTCCAAGCCGCCATCGCCCAGAAGCCGGTCAGCAGCATCTCCAGAGCGATCAGCGCGACGACCTCCCAGGGCAGCGGCAGCCGCGCCCGCCCAGGGGCGAGCCGCTTCCAGCCCTTCAAGGCCTGCGCCGAGCGCGGAAGGGAGAGCCCTCCCGACCTTGCGAACTGCGGCCGGAAGTACTTCACCGCCGCGAGCCCCTTTGTGCCCCTCTGCGCCAGCTCCCCGAACGAGTACTCCTGGTCCATCCAGCTGGCGACCACGAAGTCTGTCTCGTCGTCGCCCGGCTCCGACTGCAGGGAGCCCACCGGACGCAACCGCAGCCACATGCGGAGGATGTCCTGCCACAGACCGTCGTACTGGGCCACGGTCTTCGGAGTCACCGACGCCCGCTGCAGCAGCGACCCAGGGCCTCGGAGCGCTGCCCGACGAGCAGCCGCAGCCGCTCCCAGCCCGCGCCTCGCAGCTCGCGCCATCTTGCGGCTCCGGGCCGCGGGCGGGGGCGGCGTCCGCAGCTCCTGGCGCGACTGGGCCGCGACTGCACTCAGGTGCCGCCCCCTCCGCGGCTGGGGCCGCCCCGCCAGCGGACCGCCTCGCCGCAGGGCGTGCGGGCCGGCGGGCGCCCCGAAGAGCGCCGACGGCAGGCTCGCGGACGGCCAGCTCGGCGAGCTCGAGGCCGGCGCTGCGGCAGTCGGCCTGCTGGCTGCTGCGCCCGGCGTCCCGGACGGCCCACTGCTCGATGCCCTCGGCAGTGTCCGCCGCGCCGTTGTCGAGCCAAACCCCGAGGGGGATGTGGCGGCGCGACGGCGCATCGGCGACGTTCCGCTCAGACGGAATCCAGCGCACCGAGGCCTGCACCGCACCCGCCAGGCACCAGGCAGCCCATTGCCGGGCGACGCGGAGGACTCCCCCGGCTGAGGAGCGGCCCTTCTCCATAGCACACACGAGCCCCATGTCATCGCAAAGGAAGAGGATACGCTTACCGAAAGACTTCGAGTCGCGAAGTGCGTGCCTAAGAGAATGAACGAGTGCCCGACCTTCGAGGACGATGATCTTCTCGGACCGGGCCCACCCTCCGCTCGACACGACCTGCCACCTCCCCCCGCACAGTTTCTCCTCCACCTCCGGGACCTTCCACAAGTTACCCTCTGGATCCTCCACCGCCTCCTCTGGCGACGCGACGTGCTCCACCTCCGGCGACACGACGAAATCGGCGATCGGCTCGACCTTCGCGGTGTCGGCGGACGGCGGGTCGCTCTGCACGAAGAGGCAGTCGCGAGGTCGAGAAGCAGTTGCTCGTCGAAATCGCCACCTCTCCCCGTACCTCCCAGCACCACGAATGGCTCCCAGGTCGGCCTCCTTCTGGCACACGCCCCTCCCCTCCTCGCTAGCGTCGCTCGCGTAGACCCTGGGAGACCAGGTAGCCCGGAGATCAGCCCAGGCAAGGGGGATCAGGGAGGCGGCCCAACGAAGCTCACGGCGGACAGACGGCGGCAGCTTCATCACACGATCGAAGTACTTCCTCGAGAAGGCATACACAGAACTAAATACGGCCAAGAGCGGGCGCCTCGACATAGCAATGAACGCGAAGTGCCCAGCAATCTCCCCTACTTGTCGTCCCGAAGCGTGCCCACGAGCAAGCAAACCCTGGATCCCAAGACGAAGCCTCCATGCACGACGACTCTTCGGCCTCACAGCTCCCCGCTCACCATCGAAGACCCAACCCAGCTGCTCAGACACAGAGGCGGGAAGATCAGGATCGTGAAGAGGGAGCCCCGCGCTGCTCAAGGCCTCTTGGGCCGACCTCAGGAGGGCCGCAGGCCTGCCAGGATCCACACCAAAGGAAATGAAATTGTCAACATAGGCTGTGTAGGCCCCGTCCTGGATGGGAGGTGCTGGCACACCATCGACCAATTCGGGAACGTTCTCGAAACCTCCCTTCTGGAGTAAGATATTTCTGTGCACTTTCTGGCAAAAGTCCAGCGCATGCGTCCAGCCCATGGGCAAGACGGCCAAGCACGGGCGCACCCAAGCGCGGACTGGAACTGGGCGCCCGCCCAGCTCACGTACCCCGAGCTGTGCTGCCCGAAGCCGCGGGAGCGCAAAAAGGTGCCGGAGCTCCGGCGGCAGGCCCATGTTGTAGAAGGCGTCCGCAATGTCGACTCCCGCCGTCCACAGCACCTCGCCCGGCGCCAGCTCGATGGAGCTGAAGCTGCCCCCCGAGGCCAGGCTGGTCTTGTCGGGCTCCGCGAACCTGAAGTTGCTGCCCCTGCAATCGATCACCAGGCGTTGGCGACCATCCTTCTTCCAAACGGTGAATAGACCGACTTCCTCAAAATTGCCCTCATCGACCCTGAACTCCAGCATGCCACCGTCCCTCATCCTCTCGACGAAGGCCAGGTAGGCCGCGGGCTGCCGCAGCACTGGATCCAGGTAAGGGCGTGCGAAGCCAGCCTCCTTCTTAAAAATCTCGGCGCTTTGAATTGGCAAAACCTTCGAAGTGATGAACCTTCGCACGATGTCTGGACCGTCGGCTCCCAACAGCTGGCTCAGGGGCACAGGCGCACCGCCCACAGCCGGAAGAGACACGAGGTCGTGCGCGAAGGGGGCCACCGTGACGGGCTCGCCGTCGGAGTAGCCGGCGCCGACCTGGAGCTCCTGAAGGGCCACCTCGGTCGACAAGTCTGGAGGAATGGAGCCCATCGCCGCACAGCTGTCGGCGAGATGCTCCAAGCATAGCTGCTGCATCCTGTTGGGCTCCTGGCCAGCACGGCGCGGCGGGTCATCAGAGCCGGCATCCAGCTGGTTGAGCGCCACAACGAGCTCGGTCACGAGCTCCCCCTGCAGCGTCCTGTTGGCGCGGCGACGCCGCGCTGCGCGACCGCCGCTGCCGCTGGGGGCAGCCTGCACGCGACACCAGTCAGGGACTGGCAAGGGCAGGAGCGACCGCTGCACGTGGTCGTCACCTCCGCCCACCACCTCTTCTGCATCACCCCCGGGTCGAGGCAGTCCCGGGGGCGGGCCCAGCATCATGACTTCGCGGGAGGAGCGTCCCGGCCGCCCTTGTTGGCCTTCTGCTCCTCCCTCAGTTTCCTCGCGTTCTTCTTGATGCTGTGGATCCGCTCCAGCTCCTTCGACACCGAGTCGAGCAGCTCGGGGCACACCATCGAGGGAGACCTCGAACCTCCCATGAACGCGAAGGCCTCCTCCAGGGGCATCCGCATGTTGTGCTGCTGCTGCTCCGCGCTCCTGTCGTCCCAGTAGTGCTCGATGAGCTGGAGCTTCCTGTAGCCGAGCTCCGCACTCGCCAAGTTGTAGACGTCCAGGTGATCGGCCGAGCCCATGGCCTCGATCATCTTGGACAGGGTCTCGTGCATGTCCACCCCGAAGTCGGTCGGGTTCAGCTTCCGCTTAGACTTCCACATCTCATGATGGAGGACCGGGCCCCCCTCCTTCACCTGGTACTTGGCGCACCACTGCGCCGTCCTCGGCGGGGCGACGGCGAACCCTGGGACGGCCTCCTCGCGGCACAGCTGCACCACCTCGCGCCACTCCCGAGAGCAGCCGCCTGGCTGCCCGGCGCCCGGCGGGATCTCGAGCGCGCGCGCGTCGCTCCCGCGGTACTCCTGCGTGAACCACGAGATCTCGCTGTCGTGCAGCAGCACCGCACTGGCCAGCGCCGCCGGCGAGCGTGAGAAGCCCGCGGCGCCCAGCGCGTCCCACGAGGGTCGCTCCGCCCGGAACCCCGACGGCCACCTTCGCGCCGAAAGACACGGCGCCGTCGACGTCCTCGGCGGCCACCCAGTGCCAGCCAGGCGCGGGCTCCCCGCTCGGCTGCGGCGCGGCCGCCACGGTGTCTGGCACCGCCGGCGCCCGACCCGCTGGCGCCGCGGCCGCCCCGGGGGCGAGGGCCACGGCGGCTGGGGCCGCGGCGGCCGGCGCCGGCGCGGCCGCGGCCACAGGCGGGGCTGGCGGGGCCGCCCCAGGAAGCGCCAGCTCGCCCGGAGCCGCTGGCGCGGGGCACCCTCCAGCCACGTCGACCAGCGGGGGCACCACGATCGTCGGGTCCGCCAGCGGTATGCTCCCCGCCGGCGCGCCTGCACAGTTCACCGCGGACAGCGTGAGGAGGAATGGCCCGTCGGGCAGCGGTCCATACCCCAGCGCTGCCCCGCGGCGGAGGGCGCTCCAGACCTCGGCCGCCGTGGGCAGGCGGCGAAACCTGTAGACCCGGTTCGCCGGGATGCCTCCAGCCCTGCCGCCCTGCCCGTGCACGAAGTGGATCTCCATCACATCCGCGTCTGGATTCGTGGTCTCGCCGTAATCGTCGAAGTCCGGGGTCATCACGTACCCCGAACGATATATGTCCAGTCGCTCATGATACAGAGCGGGGCCTCCCACTCGATACCTGGTCAGATGGAATCCTCCCGCCAGCGGCCCAGCAGCCATCCTCAGTAGGCGGCGGCAGCCGGCGACCTGCGGAAGGCCTTCGCCTGCTCCAGCGCGAGGTACGCGAGGTCGCCACCCGCCGGCGAGCTGTCCACCTCCACTGGCGCCGCGACGGGCCCCGCAAGCGCCCGCGGGCGAGGCCGCCCGACCCACGAGACGGCCGCGGCCCCGAGCACGCCGCCCAGCAGGAGCGAGAGGCCAGCCACCCAGGCCAGCTGAGCCCCGGGGCACCCCGGGATGGCGGCGGCCGCCAGGGTGCCCTCGCCGCTGGGGCACGTGCACTGCAGCGCTGGGCAGTGCAAGGCCGGACTGCACCGGCAGTCCGGGCAGTCGGCCACCGAAGCCCGGACGACGAAGGCGGTGGTCAGCGCCTGCCCCACGTCGTGGAGCAGCCTCACCAGCCCGGCCTCCATCACCCGGCAAGGTCTCAGCGCAAACAAAGAGACCTCAAATGGCCATGGAATGGCAAAGGAATGGTGCACTGATCCATGGCCCTGAAATGCGGCCTCTCTTGCTGTGGCGTCTGGCAATCATCAACGAAGTAGTGGGCAGGAGGAGCAGCAGCAGCAGCGGCAGCAAGACGAGGACAAGGACAAGGGAAAAGAAGATCTAAGGAAAAAACAAAACAAAGCAGGAGGACCATGAGCAGGAGGATATGGTGAAAATAACGAGGAGGGGGCGGAAGCAAGAGCAGGAGGAAGACGAGAGAGAGAGAGAGAGAGAGAAACCGCTAGAGAGTTGCCGAGGGAGCTTCCGACCTTCATTGACCCTCGCCTTTCCCTCCGTTTCCCCATTTCATATCTTTCCTACCTCCTCCCCGAGTTCCCTTTCCGTTCTCGTCTCCCCAAAGCGTTGCCCCTCCCCCACCTATCGTGTGCCAGCGATCATGGCTCCGCGCGACACGTGGATCCAAGATGTGGCGCTTCTGCTCAAGAAGGCTCCGTGCGGGGCCCCCGCCCGAAACGCTGTACATGAAAAGGGCGAAAGAGAAGAGGGCGACGCTTCCACTCCTCACTCCTCCTCACTGTTCCTTCTCTTCCTCCTCGTCGTCCTCCTCGTCTTCCTCCTCTTGTTCCTCCTCCTCCTGCGCCTACGCCTCCTCGTCATCATGAACATCTTCCTCATCTCCCCTCATCATCCCCCTTCTAACCCTCTTTCCTGTGATAACTAAATCAAGTCGCACCCCCAGACGTGTCGGTAAAGCGATCCGGGCGTTTCGCCTGAGACCTCCTCACAAAGGATGGGCCTGCAGCTTACAAGCTCAAACAGCTCTCACGGATGGTGGCTGGCTTTCAAAATCTGATTACAGTGGTGTGGACGGCGGCTCATGTTGACATGTAGCTATCTTGAAAGACCTCTACAAAATACGAGCCTGAAGCTTGAGCTTCCAACTCAAACACGGATGGAGGGCGAGTCTGCTTTAGCGTGGCTGCCGTCCTGAGGCTCAGGAGAGAGAGAGAGATGGAAAGCAAAAGAAAGCGAGAGAGGGAGATCAACAACAACAACAAAAAAGAGAAACAAGAGAAAGAGAGGGAGACTAAAAGAGAAAGAGAAAGAGGGACAGACAGACAGACAGACAGACAGACAGACAGACAGACAGACAGACAGACAGAGAGAGAGAGAGAGACAGAGAGAGAGAGAGAGACAGAGAGCGAGAGAGAGAGCGAGGCAGAGGGAGACAGAGACGCACAGCCAGAGAGGCGGGACCGACGGACGGACGGACGGACGGACGGACAGACGCTGCCAACAGACAGACGAACCGACGGGAAGGGGGCGGCGGAGGACGGCGCCCCCGGGCGGCGCGGGCGGGCCGGGCCCGCCTCGGCTCGCACTGCGCGAGCGGGAGGCCCCTGCGCGCACGCTCGCCGCAGGCGGGCGCGCCGGTGGCCAGCGCTGCCGCGAGGCGGCTCGCGAGCGGCACCCTGCTCTGGCTGCCGGGGAGAAAAACACACACACACACACAAAAAAAAAAAACACACACACAAAAAAAAAAAAAAAAAAACTGTGTGTGTGTGTGTGTTTTGTCCCCCCCCCGTGTGTTTTTTTCCCCCACTGCCGGGGCCCTCCATCTCTCCCTGATGCTCCAGGGCAGCCTCCTCGCTGCTCCTCCTGCACCTCCTGTTGTTCCTGCGCCTGCTGCTGCTCCGCACAGTGTTGGGGGTCCTGCGACTTGCCTCGCGGGGGAATGACCCCCACATGCTGCGAGTTCGTCATGGAGCGTCATTTGCCTGCGAAGTGAGAGATCTGGCAGGAGATGTCTCTTCCGTTTGTCTCACAACCTCCGCGGTGCTCACATGCACATGAGCGTAGAGCACACAGGACCTTGCGTACACACTTGCAACCGAAAGAATCTCACATGTTGTCTGCCCTGAGTGGCCACATGGAATACACATGACACCGCATCTGGATGGCCACGCAATTTGTATCATGTATACATACATGTGTCTTATATAGGTTGACAAATGTGTATGCGAGCGTGTACCTGTAAGCAGATATACCGTGTGCACCTATGTACACATATCCGCCACCGTGCCGCGAGGCGCGAAGTGGAGTTTTCTCAAGGTCCTCACGTGTCCTCTGCTCTCTGTGCTCAGGACTCCGGGATTCTAGTATTCTAGGGGCTGGGGCCCCCAAAAACCCAATTTCCTGGGCGTTCTCCCGCGCGCTCTTGGGCTGCCCCGCTTTGCCAGAATCCACAAGGCCCCCAGACGAGCCAAGAGGGCCCCAAGAAGCGCCCAAGAGGGCCCAAGATGACCCCGAGTCGTCCTCATGGCGCTCCAAGACGCCCGAGATGGCTCCAAGACGGCCGATGAGGCCGCCAAGATGCCCCAAGAGGATTCCAAGAGGTCCCCACAAAATGGCCCCGAGATGCCAACACATCACTGTTCCAAATGTTGAGGATTAAAATGTCCTTTCCTTGCCTTGACTTTGACGCTCCAAGACGGCCCAGGAGGTCCTCCAGATTGCTCCAAGACGACCGAAGGGACCCCCAAGAGCGCACCCAGACGGCCCAAGATTGCCCCAACCTGGCACAAGAGGCCCCCAGGACGGCCCAATAGGGCCCAAGAGGTGCCCAAGGGAGGCCCAAGGGAGGCCCAAGGGAGGCCCCTGATAGGGAACACGAACCGACATTGCAAGCCGGTCGGTCGCCCCAAGATAGCCCCCGAGACCGCCAGCAGGTCCACAAGAGGCTGCTCAAAAGCCCCAGGAGGCCCCCAACAGGCCCAAAGTAGACCCCAAGAAGCCCCGAGGAAACCCCCGAAAGGCCCTCGAAGCACAGAAGAAACGAATCCAAAAGGCTTCCAGGAGGCCTCCAAAGAGATCCGCACAGGCATCCCAGAGGCCACTGATATGTGTATATGATTATACATATATATAACATATATATATATATATAGGCACACAAACATACATGAAGACATACAGACATACAGGCATACAGAGATACAGACATACAGACATATATACATACCTACACACGTACATGCATGCATGCATACATACATGCATACATACATCCATGCATGCATGCAAACATACATACATACATACATACATACATACATACATACATACATACATACATACATATAACTAGACATGCATAAATACCTACCCACACACATATATATAGACATACAGGCATACATGCATACATACATACATAAATACATGCAGGCATGCATACATGCATACAAACAGACACACGAACATCTACGAGCGCACACATATATTTTCATATATGTATGACATAGATCTACATGCATGCATGCATATATGCATACATACACACACGCATGCATGCGTGCATGAATGCATACATACCTATAGGCATACGTGCACACATGCACAAAGATGCACACACCTATATGTGCACACATGCATTCATCTGTACATACCGACATGAATATATATATATATATATATATAATATGTATACACGTTAATATATATATATATACATACATACATACATACATACATATATATATATACATATGCATACAAACATACATACCCACATACCAACAGTCATACATATCTACGTATCTGCATACCTACATACCTTCAGATCTACATACATACATACATGCATGCATGCATACATACATGCATACTTACCCACACACACATATCTACATACATACAGACAGACAGACCTCCCTATCTGCATACATACTTACATGCATGTATACGAGCATGCATGCATGCATGCATACACACATGCATGCACATCTACACCTACATACATACATGCATGCATGCATACATACATGATTGCATTATTGCGTGCATAAATATATGTAGAGAGATATACACGTATGTGTGCATACATATATACATGAATCCATACGTATACACATACACACAGATGTGCAAGCATGCATACGTACGTACATGCATGTATGCGTGCATACATTCATGCATACGTAGATGCATACATACACACATACACCAATGCATGCATACATACATACATGCATACATACAAACATACATACATACATACCAACAAACGGACAGACTGACAGACGGACTCACGGACAGACACAGACAGACAGACAGACAGACAGACAGACAGACAGACAGACAGACAGACAGACAGACAGACAAACACACCTACATACATACATACATACATACATACATACATACATACATACATACAGCAATAAAATACATACAGATACATATGCATGCATACATACATGCATGCATGCATACATATGATACCAGAGAAAACCAAACATAATATTGTACGGGTTATAGGGCTATAGGGCTATCAGGCTGCAAGGCTATAGGGCTGTGGGGCTATAGGGTTTTAGGGCTATAGGGCTATAGGGCGATTGGGCTACAGGGCTATAGGGCTATAGGGGTATAAGGCTATCGGGCTATAAGGCTATGGGGCTGTAGGGCTATAGGGCTATAGTGCTATAGTGCTATAGAGCTATAGGGCTATAGGGCAATAGGGCTATAGGGCTATTGGGCTATAGGGCTATAGGGCTTTAGGGCTATAAAACACCCGGGCACCCGGGCACCCGGGCACCCTGGCACCCGGGCACCCGGGCACCCGGGCACCCGGGCACCCGGGCACCCGGCACCGCGGAAATCGGCGGCGAACCTCACCCGCGCACCGGGGCACCCTGGCACCTGGGCGCCCAGGCGTGCCGCCGAAATCGGCGCCCCACCTCACCTAACCATAGAAATCCGCTAGGACCCCCACAGAGGCAAGCTCTGATTGGGGAGCATACACACGTACATGCATACATGCCTGCATACATATAGACAGACAGGCAGGCAGGCAGGCATGCAGACAGGCAGGCAGGCAGGCAGACAGACAGACAGAAACACATGCATGCATGCATGCATAAATACATACATATGGACAGCCCCCCCTCCGGCACCCATTCATCACCTCCTTTCCTTCTCGTTCTCTCTCTCTCGTCTTCCTGGTGTCAGTCTTGTTGTCATTTTCCCTCCTTTCCTTCACCTTCCTTGCTTACGGACTCCCCTGGCGTCTGCTGGCGCATCTTACTCGACTCCACTGGCGAGCGCGCTTTGGTTGCTAGGCTGGCCAACGCCCAACGGCAGCGCACTGTAGAAGATGCAAACGGCGCTGTTCCCCCCCATCAGAGGGACCACCGAACCCTGTGATTTCAATGGGATGCGTGTGATCTCTGGAGTGCTAATCCCAGAAACCACACGTTTTCACTGGACAGCTTGGGATTTCCTGGGAGTGTCGACCCTGGAGCCCCCGAAAGCTCCGAATCCCAAGCATCCGAATGAATTCACCAGTTCCGCGACGTCAGGGAAGCCCAAACCCTGTGAGTCGACTGGGATGCTTGGGATTCATGGGGTGCTAATCCCAGAAACAATGTGACTTCACTGGGGTGCTTGGGATTTCTGGGAGTTGCCACCCTCCTACATAAATCGGTCCTGGAGCCCCCCAAAGGCTCCGAATGCCCAGCATCCAAATGAATACACTGGGTTCGCGACGTCAGGGAAACCTAAACCGTGTTATTTCACTGGGATGCTTGGAGTTCCTGGGCTGCTAAGCCCAGAAACCATATACTGTCAGTGGCATGCTTTTGATTCCTGGGATTATCTGGTGTCATGAACCCTGGAGGCTCCAAAATAGCTTTGAAAGGGAGGGACCCAAGGAACCCCAAGCATCCCAATGAAATCAAATTGTTCATGAGATTCGCACCCCAGAAATGCCAAGCACCCCAATGAAATCACTGGGTTGGGGCTTCCCTGACGTCGCGAACACTGTGAATTCACTTGCATGCTTGGGACTCGGAGCCCTTGGGGGCTCCAGGGTGAATTTTTGTCGGGGGGCGGGAACTTCCAGGAATCCCAAGCATCCCAACGAAACCATCTGGTTTCTGTGAGTAGCATGTCAGAGATCCCAGGCACCCCAAGGAAATCACTGGGCTTGGGCTTCCTTGACAACGCGAACACTGCCAATTCACCAGCATGCGCGGGATTCGAAGCCCTGGGGGGCTCCAGGGTGAATCCCACCTGCCATCTGGGCGTAGGTGGTCTAACGATATCTTTCTTCCCTCTTCCAAGAGCCCCTTTTCCCCTTCCGGGAGGGGTTCATCACTGTCCCTTATTGATATACACCCCCTCCCCCAGGCGACCAAAGGCCAACCCGACACCATGCCGACAACATGCCGACACCATGCCGACACCAACCATGCCGCCACCATGCCGACCCGCCCCCCCCCATCCCTGTCAAAAAACAATACAAACCGCACTCTGCCTCCACATTTGGAACATGCGCGGCCAACCCGATGCGGGCCCCCCCCAACCATCCTGGTAAAAAACAATGCAAAGTACACTGTGG